TGGTCAGCCCCGTGTCCTTGCGGTAAAGGCGTGGCCCGTGCGGCTGTGTGCCGTTCGCTGGGCGGGCTCGGAGAAAGGAGCAAAGCCCTCCGAACCCTCCGAAACAGCACGCCACCCAGCGCCCTCCAGCGGACGAGAGGGGCCAGCAAGACGCAGGGGGCCAGACGGACCAGCGCGGGGGGAGCTGGGTCCCTGCCGGCCTGCTCTCCTTTCCGTCCGTCCGGCGACGGCGACGGCGACGGCTCCCTTCCACTCTGGCTCTCCCTGCAGCCTCTCCCACTTCTGTCCCCTCCTGCTCTGCCCTCTGATCTCGTCTCCTCTTTAAGCCCCTCTCCCTCGGTGACTCTGGCTTCCCAGACCCCTCCTGGCCTCCCAGTCGTGGGCACAGAACGAAGCCCTGCAGAGGGCCTGGGCATGGGCTCTTGGCCCTGGCACCATGCCGGGCGGCCTTCCTGCCCCAGACACCACAGGTACGGCTGCCTCTCCCAGCTGAGCCACTTCGTGCCACTGTGTGGGATGCGGAGGGAGTGACGGGGAGGGCGGCAGGGGCTTGGAAGACAAGGTCCTGGCCTCTGGGCCTATGTGAGTCACATGCTTCTTAGACATTCTCAGGTCTCTAGCCCTTCTCTGCCCTGAGCATCGATGGCTGCGGTCCTTCCTTCCCGGGGCGAGGGGGTACCTCGGTCATCCCTCCAGGAAGAATGCTGACCCTTCCTCCCTCCCGCTCCAACGCAGCCTCTTTTCTGGACGGATCGGTCCTTTCAAAGCGGGCCAGGGGTTATTTCCTCCTGAAACGCGTACCTGTATTTTTGCGCAAGGTGGAGGCTGATAGGGATCAAGAGAATCATTTCACCCCCACGTGCCCAGGTTCCCTTATCAAGCCGGGCATCTCGAGGCAGGGGCAAGCAGCCTGGAGGGCGTGGAGGGCGGCAGTAGTGGCTTGGAACTGGGGAGCAGCCACCAACTTCTCTTTCTCCTCCTCCCCACCCCCCAAACCACAGAAACCACTTAAAGCTCAGTGCAAACCTGCCCTGCCAGCGAGGGCCCGGCTGTTAAGGGTGGAGAGTGTGTGGGCCTGGGGCGGCCCGCAAGCCTCTCGCTGCCCCGGCCCCATCTTCCGAGGGCCGCCCCTCTGAAAAAGCCTGATCCAGTGATTAGGGACCATCTTTCTTTGGGTCTCTGGGGAGACCTCGACCCAGTGCAGGGACTCAGCGAGAGGGCTGTACCCCTCCCTCCCTCCCGCCCTCATCCATTAAAAAGAGGCCAACCCAGTCTCTATAAACAGCTATAGATCTTACAGGCTCCACCCCTCCCCCTTCCCGTCACAAAGGCCACTGTGGGTGGAGGGAACAGCTGGAGTTTGACCCCAGCTCCGGGCCCTGAACTTTCCACAGTGACCCTGCCTGTTCCACTGCTCTATCTGTCAATTAACATTTGTGGTCACTTAGGCTTGGACAGGGCGAGGAGGATGGAAAAGCAGGAGCTCTGAGTCTGGCAGCCAAAAGGCTTGGGTGAGAACGTGGCCTGCCATGTTGAGTTCCATCCCCGCAGCAGTGAAAAGGGGCCGCTGCCCGTGTTCGTGAGCAGCTCGGCGGCCCCAGTGGTCTGCACACGGAGGGGTTCTTGGGGGCCCATGTGCTCCAGGGCATGTTTCTGTGGCTTTAGCCAGCCAGAAAGTCCCTCCAGGGACACTGTGGCCTCCATTACAGGGGAACAGTCCACAGCCGTGACCACCGAGTGAACGGCTCCTGCGCGGAGTGGACGTCAACCCCGCCTCATAGCCTCCTCTGAGCAGCAGGGTGCAGTGGGGGCGGGGGGGGGCGGTCTGCGTGGAGCCACAGTCCTAAACTTTCCCTGAAGCTAGGGGATCCCCAGTGACACTTCACTTCCTGATCAGGCTCCCAGGTAAAATGGGGACACACCGACCTCGGTGTGACAATTAACTGAGTAGCACAGGTAAAGCACGGGCCCCGGCATCAAGGACTTGATCAGAAAAACGTGTTTCGGGGTTCCCTCCTCTCTCCAGGGCTGTGATCTTCCCTTCCCCTTATCTGGCCCCCCGTCCCACGTGCCTTTCCTGCCTTATTTTTCTAACGCGTCACCCAGTAACACCATTTACGTCGCGCTCGTTCATTTTGTAACGTGTCCGATCCCCACATCTGATCCAATCACTCTTGCATCTGATGCCCCCCGCTCCCCGCTGGCCCGACACATGTGTGGACAAAGGTTAGATGACGGCAACGTTTCTTTCCAGCTATTTTCAAACGGGCCTGAGACCCGGTCGCTTGCGAAAGGTCGTCACGGGAGGATCTGGGGCTGAAGCAGAGGGCAGCACGAAGGACAGAGCCAGACTGAGGGGCGGCCTTCGCGGTCTGAACCGGGAGGAGCACCATCGTCCTAGAGAAGGAGGACACCCCTTTCAGAGTGGCCTGGTGGGGAGGCGGCAGCTGGTACTTAAGGACATTATAATGAGGTGATGAAGAGTCCAGACTCTCCGGGGGTCGACTCCTGGTTCTCCTTGCTAGGTGAGTAAAGTCCAAGGTCACGCCGATAATCATAGTACTTAACCCTCATGGGAGTTGCTGGGAGGAATAAAGGACTCGACAGGTCGTTGGAACATTAGTTCATTGCCTGGCGATAATCGGTTAGCTGTGGGCACTTGTTATTATTCAGTCAATGCTACCACCTGGTGGACATCTGGCAGAAGAGGTTTCCTGGGCGGTGCCGGGTGGCCCAGGGCAGGGGGCCGGGGAGAAAGAACTGGGGAGCGATCTGAGTGTGTGCCGTCACCCCGCACAAACCGAGGTTTCCAGCAGGCTCAACCCTGGTTCAGGGAAGCGTGGAAAATGAGAAAAGGCCCGGGGAGAGGGCGGAGGAAGACGCGATGGGCCGATGGGCCGGTCCCTCCCTCCCTCCCTCCTGCCCTCCTCCAAGCCTGGCCCAAGCCAAGAGGAACCAGCTTCAGGGAAGGTGGAGAGACAGAGAAGAAGGTCACCGCTGACGTCAGGGACATGCGTGTAGGAGGCGAACACGCTCTGACCTACATTTATCCATCTTCCACACCCTCTCCCTACTCCTGGGGCACACTTTTCTGGATGGTCCCCAGCTCCCACACTCAGGCAGGACACCCTCCCCTCCAGAGACGTCGACCCCTGGGTCGTTTAGTGCCCAAGTGCTGCTCTGGCTCTTGGCTCTGGCTCTGCCCCCCGCCCCCCGCCCCCCGGGGGGCACAGGTGCAGCAGGGACAGGTGAGAGAGAGGAAAGCTGAAGGCGCCGTGCACTGTAGTCTGAATCCCTTCACTCTCAAGATACAGAAGTTTCATCTCTCTTCAGGACCGATGTAGGTTGGGGTGGGGAGGTGGACGAGGCGCGGGGAGCCCCGAGGAGACCCCAGGAGAAGGCGGCTTATTGGGTTTCAGTCACGGAACTTTTTCTGGAGTGACTCGGAGGTTGGAGGGCCCCCAGAGAGGGTGGGGACCTTGTTGGATAGGGAGCCGAGGAGGACCGACCCAGCTCAGACCCAATGAGCGGGCCGCGGTCTCTCTTGGGGATGGAGCCCAGGACCACTGCGCGTTTCACCAGCTCCCCCAGGATTTCCGGAGTCTGGTTATTTTGATGCTCTCCGCAGTTTGAGGGCCACTGCTCCAGGTCCGCTTCGACTCAGACGATCTGAATGAGCTGCTTCTCTCTCTGTATGGCCAGGGCAGAAGGAAGAGGGTAGGCTGCAGATCCGAGAGTGCAGGGTGCCCCGAAGGGGACAGGTCCCGCCAGAGACAGACCTTTTATTAGCAAAAGTAAATGCGTGGGGGGCGGATGGAAAGAGCGGGCCCGCAGGCCCAGGGAGGGCTCCCGAGGAAGACAGACTCAGTCTACAGGCTGAGATGGGCAGGCGCGGGAGCGGCTCCTGGACCTAGGCCCCCACCCAAGGGGGGCAGTAGGGCGATAAGGGGCGTCTCGCACTCCCCCAGCAGCACGTCCCTGCGCAGCCCTGCGCCTTTGTCCAGCACCTTGGCCTTTAGACTGCGCGCGGCCAGTTCTGAAGGCCCGAGCTCGTCGAAGAAGAAGTCTTCGTTGAAGATGGGGTTGGCACTGCATCTGACCACGCGGCTCCGCTGGCCTCGCGGCCGGATGCGCGGCCGCAGCCCCAGCACCACGAAGCA